TTTATCTTTACCTCTCTCTTCCATTCTGTTTGGTGAACACTAGGGGCTTACACATGCTGAAGGAAAAATTTCAACGCGATTGATTTTGTCAGTAGCCTGTTTCAGGAGGTAAGAAATCAGCCATCTTGAATTCTGGCAATGAAATCTGTGGATGGAGATTGCAAAATGTGTGGCCATCCCTTGGCAGGGTATTGCTTCATGGTTTGTACTTTGGGCTAAGAAGGAAGCTGCTGCTCAGATAACTCCACCCTTCATGCCCCAAGGAGCTTGTTCAGAAAGAGATCACACAGGCTAAAAATCCTGCTTTGAACCTCTATTTCATTTTTGCTTTCTCTGGTTGCAGAGTTTAAAAATCACATTAGTTTTGGGGTACTCAAATTGTGATCATGCTCTTCATGCCCACGATGCCCCACTCGTTGGTGCTAGCTAAGAGAAGTTGGGACTGAGGAGACAAAAAGAGAAAAGTGAACATTTTCATTGACTAAATATAAACTCTTAACTGCACTGAGACCGGCTTACAATTTCCCATGTTTGCTTCTAGAAAGCCCTTTTCAGTATAAGCAAATTGCCATCCTTGAGGGAGAAGGGCTGCATGTGTCAGTGTAAGGAGTGATACTTTCGGGAAATCTCCCTCCTGTGATGGGACCCAGGCTGGAAATAAGGAGACCCCCCTCTGCTTCACTTTTCTGTTAACTGCAAATGGACGAAAGCTGTAAGTTGTGAGGTTCCCTCACCAATCAGCAATGGGAGATTAACTTTATCGTTAACCTTGTCTGTGCCCTCACCAATTTAATTGGCATTGGCCCAGGTCCCAGACCTAAGGCCAAGAAATACAGAGCAGAGCTCGGTCGGGTGATGCAATGAGAGCTACTGCTCCTCCCAGCTGTCCTGGGCTGGACACATGTCGTTTCGATCCCTCGGCGCAAAGCACAATGTCTTTGCACGTCACCAGCCAGGCTTTCAGCAGGTATAAATAAGCGTTACACAGAGAACTCCAGTAAAGAAGGTTTTGCATCCCTTAAGAATCTAGCCATAATTATTAAACTCTCCTGGAAAATTTTCTTTTTAGTTCCCTTTAAAAAAAAAAAAAAAAGGGCTTTGTTACCCATCTTCTCACTGTGGGTAACCTCATTCTCTCCAAGCTCCAGCTGGAACCTGCATCACACATTGCTCAGCTCTCTGTTGCAAAAATCATTCCCCATTCGCAGCACTAAATCCCCTGCACACACTCCTAAAATATCTTCTCTGGTTCCTCATGCCTAACTAAACAACGCAAAATCCTGATTCTCTGCATACCTCCCACAGCCATCCCAGCTGCTCCTGCCACCTTTCCTTTCCCCTAGGCCCTCTTCACTCATCTGAAGTTACTCATCAGGAATCCCCTCCTCCATCACTCCTCTCAGCTTTTTCTTTCACTGGACCCCTTTTGGGGAGGTAGGGGGAAGAGGTTATTTTAAATAAAACTTTGTCCACTTCTTCCTCTCACATTAGTTTTAAAAGTTGCCATTGTCACAAGATTTGAGCAGATGCACAGAGAGATGCTCGTTTCTGGCTGTTCACACCATCCCGCTTTGTGCTCGCAGGGAGCCTGCGCTGTGGGGTGCCTGGCCCACCCAGGCCGTGCAGACCCTGGGAGCGGCAGCGTGGCCTCCTGCCAAGCCACCAGACCCCTCGGCCCTGAGAGCTCCTGAGCGTGGGTCAAGGCAGCCTCTTTGCACAGGTCTGCGAGTTAACAAATGTTTCACAGCGGAGAGGTCTGCTCTTTGAACCCTGTGCAAATGCCATCTTTATGAGTCACATCTTCCCCATCTCCCTTTCATGCTCTGTCCCCAAAAGTAGCTGCCCTGAGGCATCTGCTTTGAAAGGACATAATCATATTGTCCTCCCCCTCATTATCCCTCTTCCTAGCATCTGCACCTCATTGTATGGTCATCTCTTCCCATCGTTGTCTTCTTAATTTAGTTTGGAAACTCTCTAGAGCAATGAGACATCATTATCTATTTTGTAAAGAACCATTCAGACCTGTAGCAGAGAAGCACGCTTACGTGATAGAAATCCTACCCTTCCATTTCCTCCAAAAGATAGGCAGAGCTGATTGATGCTCAGCAGGTGAATGCACACCACCCAGCACGTGCTACCAGCAAGAGCTCCCGTTACTGGAGCTTTCCCCTAAAACAGAGGCGAGAGCTCAGCCGTGCTTTGCTCCTCACGACAGAGTATTGCAGGAGGCCTCTGGCAGCTCCACTCCTGACAACTGTATTACCACAGAACATATTTTGATACAACCGTATTACCACAGAACATATTTTGATATGCAGTTTTTAGAGGGCCAGAGCAGTGACGGTCACTAACAAGGTGACTTCACTATCTGCAGAGCTGTGAGTAGGCAGAAGGTTTCCTCTCTGGTTTGGTAACATCCACGTGGCGCTTACGGCACTTTAACGTTCTCACCCAGTGCGGCTACAGCACACACAAGCTGAGCTGTTTCCAGCTGCACATGTCAAGCTGCCTCACATCCCACCCCTGTATGTCCCTCCCCTACGGACAACCCCGTGGTCAAAAGCAGGGCGATTCCCTGCGCCAAGGGGAGGCAGAATTATGTGGGGTGAAAACCCACAACTACCTTTGGAAAGGTATGATTTCCACCACACGTAACAGTCCACTCTATGGCTGGTTACAACAGGCAATGAAAAAGACATCGGTCTGGAAAGACAGAGGAACATCCACCAGAACCGCTGGTACATCGTGTTTCCTCTCTGCCCCCACAAAATGGATGTATTCTTCCTGGGGTCACCTATAGCTTACCCAATATTAATGTGCTGAGAACTGGGCTGGATGTCAGATCCTCAAACTAGTTTTCCTGAGGTATCCTGGAAAACTGCGTATCAGCCACTCGATGGTTACTAAAATAATTAATAATTCCCTTCATTTTTAATAATAATAAAATGTTAACTGGAGATCAAAACAAAAACAAAACAAAAAACCCCCACCACAATATAAGCACAGATGATCCTGTCAGCAGCAATGACAAAAGCTCCTTGCTTGTTGCTAATGACATAAAGCATTAGGCACTTCCCAACGCTTTCCCCTCACCGACAAGGACGTGGCACAGCCCACACTGGGGTCCGTGTACAGCTGGGAACAGGCACAGGAGACCCAGGCTCTGAGGCTGGACCCGATACCAATCCACACCCAGACTTGAGCCCAATCCTCTCCCGTGTCTGTGCTTCTGCTTGTATTTCCATCTTCGAGGTATTCCAATTTTTTTTTTTTTTTTTAACTTAAGCTGATGTAGGAGTGATAGAAGCAGCGGGGTGCGGAACCGTGCAGGGGCACGGCAGTACTCCAAACCCCAGTACCCCTGGGCTGGGCGCTCTCGGCACAGCCACGCTGGCCCCGTTGGGCACCAAACCCAGGGGAACCGGGGGCCACGGGGACCTTACTGGCCGTACCTCGGCACTGCTCCATCAAGCCCTTCGCTCACTCACCCCATCCCAAGCGGTGAAACATGGAAAAGAGTTTAGCATTCAAGCTGCGTGACCTAGCTGCGAGTGAGGAGACAAGAATGATGTCAAGGAGGTTTTGTGCATGAAGCGTCTGTGAAAAAACATTAGCTTAGGTCAGACACTACCGAAATGTAAAAGGAAGGATGACTGTCAGCCTATCGATAACCAAAACAGGGAGCTGCTGCCGCTTCGTGCAGCAACAGGTGTAACAGCTGTCAGACAGAAACTTGCTTTTCGCCGATTTGTAAAGCCGCCGGCCCGGGCAGCGACGGGGCTGCGAGCGCCAGCACCTCCGGTCCGCGGCGGGAGCCCCTCTGCCCGCCGACGCCGGCAGCCGCAGCCCGCACGGCCGGCCCCGCTCGTTTCTGGCACCTGAACCGCGCAAGCCGTGGTTTTTAAACACGAGCCCGTCCCCCCGCGATCGCGCCCCGCGACGGGTGTACCGACAGGTACAGGTGGGCAGCGCGCTCAGCCGCACGCCGCCGTGGGCTGCCGGCTCGCGCTCAGGGCAGCGGCGGCGCGCTCCCACCGCGCGGCCCCGGCAGCAGCGGCGTGGGGTGGTGGGGGGGGGTGAGGACCGGCGGCCGGCCGGGGCTCCCCACGCGAGGCGCTGCCGGGGCGGCCCCGGGGACAGTGCCGGGCGGCCGGGAACGGCGAGGCGGGCCGGGGCAGCCCCGCCGCCGGCTCCCGGTTTCCCTAATGGGCATGTGCGAGCGCCGCACATGCCCACTCGGGCCGCGCGGGGCCGGGCCGCGCTGCCGGCGCCGCCGCGGTAGGCTGCGCGGCGGGAGCGCGGGGCGCGCCGTCGGGCACCCCCCGGGGCGCGTCCCGCCCCCGCCGCCGGGGGAAGCGCCCAGACGTTTCTGGCGGCGGGTTCCCCCAGCCCAAGCGCCCCCCCCTCCTCCCCGCGAAACACGCCCGACACCCCCCTCCACGCCGCTTGGGGGCGCGGGGGGGTGCGTGTGTGTGTGTGTGTAGGGCCGCTCCGCGCCCCGCCGCCCGCCCGTCGGGGGCGCGGGCAGCCTGCGCTCCCCGGCCGTCCCGGGGGCGGCGGCCCGGGCGGGGCGGGGATGTGGCGGCGCGGCGGCGGTGCCGGCGGCGGGCGGAGCCGGCGGGGCGGGGCGCGCCGCGGCGTCCCGAGCGCGGCCCGCGGGGCGGCCCCGGCGGGAGGCGCCGCGCTGCGCCCCGCCGCCCCGTGCTAGGCGCCGCCCGGCGTGGCCCCGCGCCCCTGGGCGGAGGGCGGCGGCGGCGGCGGGGGCGCCGCGGAGGGCTTTCCGCGCCCGCCCCGCCTGCCGCGGTCGGGGGATTAGTCAGCAGTCTGCGGGCAGCCCCGCTCCCGCGCAAACTCCGCGGCGGGGGCGGGGAGCGGCGAGCGGCGCCTGCCCCTTCCCGCGGCGGGGCCGCGGCGGCGGCGGCGGCGGCGGGGCTGCCCCCCCCCCCCCCCCCCCCCCCCCACCCGCGGCGGTCCGCGCCGCCGCTCCGCGGCCGCGGCGAGGGACGGCGCGTTGGCAAGTCGGGCAACGAGGCGGTGGGAAACTCCTCTCGGGCACGGCGGCGTTGCAGGAGGACGGGCGCCCCAGCCGCTCCACGCACGCACACAGGCGCGCACACACACACACACACACGCACGCACACGCACACGCGCGGCGGCGGCCCCCGGCCCCTCGCAGCCGCGGCCGGCGGGGAGGCGGCGCCCGGCGGGGCTGCCCCATGGTCTTGCGGGGGCCGTGGGGGAGCTGCGGGGGCCCCGGCGCGGCGCTCGCCCTCCTGCGCGCCCTCCGCACTAGGATGTTGCGGCAGGTCTTGCACAGGGGGCTGGGGACGTCCTTCTCCCGGCTCGGCCACTTCGTCGCCAGCCACCCGGTGTTCTTCGCCTCGGCGCCCGTGCTCATCTCCATCCTGCTGGGCGCCAGCTTCAGCCGCTACCAGGTGGAGGAGAGCGTGGAGCACCTCCTGGCCCCCACGCACAGCCTGGCCAAGATCGAGAGGAACCTGGTGGACAGCCTCTTCCCGGTGAACCGCTCCAAGCACCGGCTCTACTCCGACCTGCAGACGCCGGGGAGGTACGGCCGGGTGATCATCACCTCCTTCCGCAAGGCCAACATGCTGGACCAGCACCACACCGATCTCATCCTCAAGGTAACCGCGGCGGGTCCCCGGCCCCGGGCACCGACACCCCGCCTGGCCCGGCGCCTCGCATCCCGCCCCGCTCCCCGCCAGCCCCGCACGGACCCACGCGTGGGTGCCGGCCTCTGCCCCCCGCCCGCCATAGCCGCCCGGTCACCCCCCTGCAACAGTTGGGATGCCAGCCCGCCGCGGGGAGCCGGCACCGCGTCCCCGGCAGCGCCACGGGCTCCGCTGCCTTCCCACACATGCACACGCACGCACACTTTATTTTTAATTTTTTTTTTTTTTCCCCCCACCCCGTTTGGGTTTTATTTGCTTTGACTGAGCGAGAAGGGCAGGCTGCTTGCTTAATTTTTCGTTGCCTCTCTACTCGCCTTGCAGTCGTGCTCCCGAGTTAAGGCGACCCGGGTCTTTGATAAACTCAGAACTTCAAAAACAGTTCGGTACCAAGCTGCCAAGCAGCCGAGAATGTTTCTGGGGGCTGCTGCTGTGTCTGGACTGCACTTCTGCCTGGAGAGGGGTAGCACAAAACCTCCTTCTCACTGCTCATGAAGACAAATGACATAACTCAGCTGATTATTTTTAGCGGGTAGTATTTTTTTTTTCCCTTCCACTCCCAACCCACCATCACAGAAAATGCTGTTTTCGTAGATGAAGAAAAATCCAGCTCAGCTGTAGGTTGCAGGCACGGCACAGCCTGTGCTGCCGGTTCAAGTTAGAGCGGACAGCATCCTCCCTGTCACTTGAGCGGCACGGAGAGTGCGAGTCACAGTCTGACAGGACATCTCACCGTACTGTATGTCATAACATGTCGGAAATCTGCATTTGTTGAAACTGGTACTCTAGTTTACACCCCAGTATTTTTGAACGATCTTGAAAGGGAAGACAGGGAGGACAGATGCAGAAACTGTGTGTTAAGAGGCTCAAGTTCACCCAGGAAAAAGGAAAGGAACGTTTACAAATAACCAGAGGTGTGGCAAGCTCAGTCCTGCATGTTTTCACTCTTGCTGTATGGAAACCCCGGAGCCTCAGCATTGCTTTTTTTTTTTTTTTTTTTTTTCCTGCTTGAATGTCAAACTGTCAGGCCATACAAAAGCCAATGTTAATTCTTTTTAATAGTTTCAGGGAGTGTGTCTTCTAAAATGAGAAGATAGATGCAAATACCTACTGTATGTGGGGAGACCTCACTCTTTACTAAAGAAGGAAATAACTGTTACAGTGGATTTATTTATATTTTTTTTCCACTGTAGCCACATACAGAACTATAGTACAAGAGGCAATCAGCATTTTATGTTTTTCTTTTTTTGCTGTTGACATATTACCCAACGGTAATCAGCAAACAGATTTAATGAGCATCGACTCACTAAGTACAGTAACAGGAATGTTACTGGCAAACGAGAAAACTCCAGAGAGAGGATTTTCATTCCTTCATTTTCTTGTACCGTGAATTGCATTCACATCCAGTATGTGCCCATTTACTCAGTCATAGGATAATAATGATAATGGATTTTTTCTCTGTACTGCTTTCTCTAGAGATCTGTAGTTTTACCAATAGCATAGTGACACACAAATAAATGGTACTCAGAATCTTTCCACAAGCAAACTTCTGCATAAGATTTATCACATCAGCGGAAGAGCTATAACTTAGAAAGTTCTGTCAGTATTTAACACTGCCTCATTTTTAATAGACAGAATTTGCTAACAAAATGATTATTTTTCATTTAGTGAGATAATGAACACTATTGCCTTTTGACTGTTTACTCTTACTGTTAATCTGACATTGTCAGGCATATTTGATGCATTATTTCCAACTCTTTACTTATCTAATTAATTCCAGTATGTCTTGTACAGAATAGATTATGTCCTTTGTTCTAATTATTCTTCTGTTTGTGGGTAGAGCCAGACTCAGGCAGCTGCCTATCCAACCCTGTGGATGGCCCTGTGGGTCAAAGCACGGCAAAATAGGAGGGAGGGCTCCTAGATCCCAATATTGTTATATCTGTGGTGATGCAGGGCTACAGCATTTTATGTCAGCAGGGCTCACCAAGGGAAGGAGAAAAGGAAAGGAGGCTATCAGGGTTTTCTTATAGATATATGCAGTTGCATGAAGGGGAGAATAGAGAAGAGGCAGCCCGAGCCCCAGTCCAGAGCCAACCAACTCAAAGTGCTGTGCTTGTAAATAAATGTCATGCGTGAAACCATGGAGTAATCCCACCTACATTCCTGAAGATGCTGCTGTGTAGGCACAGTCAGGGCAGAGAACCTGGTACGGCAGCATTTGCTTACCTTTCCTTTTCTGGAGAAGGATGACCTCCCCGAGGGAGAGGTTTTTGCTGTAGAAGAGGCATCAGGTTGGACACGGGCTCCTCCCGCGTGGTGGTTGCTGCATCTCCACCCCTTCAGCAGGAGGATGGCTGCCCCAGGCAGGTGCCGGCTGCTCTTGCAGCACCTCATCTGGGTTTCCTTACTCACCGTATTCCCCCTCATCAGCCAAGGAGGGAAGGGAGCAGGCCTTGAACAGCTACAGCTACCTTAGTCATGTGGCAAAGGCAGGAGAAGATTTCCTCTGCGTTTGGCAGAGGAAGAAGTCAGCTTCCATTACTGTCCCTTTAGTAAAGGGATACGGAGTTTTGGGGTCTGAGCAGATGAAATTGAAACGTGGCTAGTATTGTCAAAAGTTAATCACTAACACCCGAATCAATTCATTAGTTAATGAAATAACTTCTTTGGTGGCATCTTGAAAATACTGTGGTTAGCTTAGCGCAATGCCTCGTGGGCACGTTACCGGCCCGAGAAACTTGCCGTTGCCACTACTGCACGATACCCCGTTGGCTGGCTGGGAAGAGACTTAGGGAAGGGCTCAGCCCCACGACTGCCTCGTGCCCAGATCTGAAGCGGCGCTCCCAGAGCTGGAGCTGCCGTAGGACATCCCGCTGGCTGCTCGCGTGACAGTGGCAGGTCTTGCTGAGTGTACAAGCTGCTCAACACAAGGTCTCTCCTGCTCATCAGCAGGGAGGCGCGTGGCTGTCTTATATAATGGTTTGGACTTTTATTTTTGTATAAATCTCCATTCGTGGTTCGCATAACTCCCCATAAATGCTTAAACCATTCTAGGCCTGCTATCCCTGTTGCATTTCCAGCTGGCATAGTCATTTGCAGAAGAAAGGGAGAAACCTAAACATATCCTGATCTCTGGCCTCGAATAGATGATCCAATAAAAAGCCTCAGTAGAGTCTCAGATATACAAGAGATGCATGCCGAGACTGAGGTACCGTGGGAGGGCAATAACTAAATTTTACTAGCTACTGTACCTGCTCTATAGCTGAGCACAGTGCACTGGCATTCTATGCTGTTGGTGTGCAGGACCGATCTTCCTCAAGATTTTGCTCTTTCAAGAGACAGAGAGTTAGGAAGAGAAAACACCTAACTGAAGAATGTGTGGGTTTTACCCCTGTATTTCCAAGAAGTGCTTGGAGAAGCAAAGATAATTGGGATATTTGGTGTGGACCATCATGCAGAAGTTCAGATGATTATGTAAAGTCTGTAGAAATCCTCCAAGCCTAGAATCCCACCTAAAAATAGTGTTAGAGCAGCCCCCTACCATTTCACAGTGGTATTTCCGCTTGCAGCGAGGAGCTTGGTAGGTTGAAGGCATACAGACAGACTCACTGGAAATACAGACCTAGACAGATTTTTGAAGCCCAGGAAATATATTCTGATTTAGCCAGAATTTGAGACACCCATCCTCATGAGCCTGTTCATTCCTTTATACTTACAGTGAGTTAACAGTATTACACTATGAAAGGCTTTTTTTTTTTTCTTTTTTTAAATGTAAGGTTTCCTTTTTTTCACAGAATATCCTCTCTTCTACTTACGTTATTGTGTTTATAACAATAACACAGCAATAATATTTTTTTGGCAAAATCTCCACTTAAGATGACAAGATGCAAAGATGAAAAGGGATTGAAATGTAACATGCCTTACTGAAGGGGATTGTATTTGCAGTTTGCCTCTGAAAATCTGTAGATAAGGGTTTGCGTTTTTTTAAAGAAACCTCTCCTAACTACATATTTTCAGACAGTGCTCATACCTTGCCCCTCTCATCTAGATCTATTGATGGCCAGTTTATATAACTGATTAAATATCTATTCGAACATGCAAGCAGATAGTAAAATTGGGTATTTCCGTTTAAGGGCACATTTATTTAAGAACTGCGTAACTTCTGATTACTGCAGAACAAAACAGTTTAACTTCAAAATTTTGTAGACCTCATACTTGTTGGGGTTTTATTTCCTCTCTCTGCTCCTTAATTATTATGTCCCTGTTAATGTGCCTGCCTGCATGCTCTGTCTACAGTCTTCCCAGATTTCCGCACTTATTTTCTATGTGTGAGGAAACTGATGGAGGAAATAACCATATTTATGTTCCCTTGTCTGTGGTATTTCCAGTTGCTTTGGTGAACAAACACGGCATACTTAAGCCGTTATTTTCAAAGTTGGTGGAAGTGGGTTTTGCTGTTCAGCACAGCCAAAAGCTGTGTCTGTTGCCATCCTGGCTAACGCAAGGCACCCTTTATTTTAAAACTTTGACTACTTCTGAATACCTGCACACAGTCAGTCAACTGTGGATGTGTCAATAGATATAGTAGGTCTTCACCTTCTCTAGGTAGCTCCAGCACTAAAAACACTTATAGGGAAACAGTCAACAGAACAAATAGTGAATTCTGCTAACAACAACAACAACAAAAAAAGGATGAAGTCATGTCTTTAGAGCAAAGCTGTAAGATGAGGGGAAGAGTCCTAATACAAGAAAAACAAGGGTGTGAAAGCAGCAGAAGTGCAAGCCTGTTGTCATAGCAGCACAATGCTGCAGGGCTAAAATGTATCTTATGCGAAAACAGATGAGAATTAAGATACGCAGGTAAGATCTGGGCACAGCCAGGGAAGAAGGAAGATAAATGGCACGCTGCAAGGACAGCGCGGAAGCGCGTGCAGAAACCCCCCTGAGCTCCC